ACAGGGTTATTTATATTAACTAAGAAGAGACTTTAATTTTGAAAAGACATCAACACAGTATTTTAAGTTATAGATACAATAATAAGCGTTGATTCATGAAAAACAAACTAGTTGCCCTGCGGGAATTGTGATTGTAACTTGGAATTGTTCATTTTCGTATACTATAACATTGTAACCAATAAACCTTTTTGAACACTTTTTATTAACTTTCCAAAACTGTCTTGTAACCTTTTTAATTAATAAGTTTATTTAAATCCACATTGAAATAAAAAAAAAAAAAAAAACTTAAAAAAAAAGATATAGTGTTAAGCACAACTTTTTGGGGCATAATATATTCTCGGCTATATTTCTAATTACAAATCCGAACATGTTTAAAAATGATATTAGACCTATATATATTGCATAAAAATCAGGTAAAATTTTCTTAAAGGCTGTTGAAGTCGATTCATTAATTCGGTCGTATCATTGGCAAAACATTATAACTTAGATTCATGTCACATCGAATGGAAGAAGACTGAAAACATTATATCCGAAGAAAAAATGAAAACCTACTCCAACTGAGTACGTAGATCAATCCTACCCCCAAAAAAGTTCAAAAATACTATACCAAAAAAAAACCCTCTAAAATACAAAAAAACATGGACCACGCCAACACACGTGTGACAACTCATATGTGGAATTGATACGCAGTAGCTGTAATATACGAGAACATACACGACAACTACCGGATAAATAAAATTGAGAATGGAAATGGGGAATGTGTCAAAGAGACATCAACCCGACCATAGAGCAGACAACAGCCGCAGGCCACCAATGGGTCTTCAATGCAGCGAGAATCTCCCGCACCCGGAGGCGTGTATATGTTATTCATGATTTTGAATCGCAAAACATTAATCAAGTCAAAACACAATCAACAAGATAAATCCGTTTTATCGATATAAGTAGCACATAGCAAAGCAATGATGAAAACAATTACCAAATGATTATATCAAATTCTATAATGCGCTATTTTGATTTAGATTTTGAAGGATCACAGTTGACTGCAATGAAAAGTGAATGAAAGAGAAAGGTCTACTTCGCGTATTTGTTGCTACTATTGTCAAAATATTCTGATGGAGTCGTTCAATTTAACACATTTGTATGATTCTTTTGGTTTTTCAGTTTCTAAGGTAATTATGTAACCTCAAGTTTTTAAAATATTGTATAGAAACACCAATTGAAATTAAAAAAAAAATGTGCTTTGAGAATCATCAAGGATATATGTGTTTGACTCCGCAATATCTTTTTTCTCTAATGAAATGCAGGATAAATTTCCTACAACTGTTTAATTAATTAGACTTAGATTCGTGATACAGTACTCAAAGCACCTTTGTGCCAGAATAAAACAATAGTCTCTTAATTTTCAGGTTTACTTCGCGTATTTTTTGCTACGATTGTCAAATTATTTTTGTTTAATTGAATACTTTTGTGTGATACTTTTGATTTATCAGTTTCTTTGCAAAAAAGGACAAAATGTACAATTTGGAAAGGCTACTTGTATTTGCTGATATGTTCTAGATTTTAGGAGGAAGTAATACCACCAATATTTTTTCCGTATTAGTCTTAGTTATATTTTCACTTTTCAAAAAAATGTCAGAATTTATCTTTGTTTCAAATAAATAAATACTTTCATGAGTAAAGTCTAATACTGTTCGGTACGACAGACAAAATTTCACACAACATTTCGTTGCATATAAGATAATAATCATCATTGGAAGTTAACAAATCAAATGTTTACCACTGTTTTCCTGTTTACAAGCTTTAGTAATCATATAACCTCAAGTCTCCAAAATATTTTATAGAAACACCAAATATAAAAAAAATGACGCTTTGACTAACATATATTATATTATACTATCACTCCAAAATATTTTTTTTTCTGCAATGAAATAAAAGGTAAATTTCCTACAACTGTCAAATTCAAGGAAATATTTGTTTTGACCCTTGTTCGTATGAAACCGGATGTGACATAGATAAAGGCAAAAAATGTATACCGCTGTTCAAAAGTCATGCATCGATTTAAAAGAAACAAATCCGGGTCACGAACCAAAACAAAAACATAACAATTTTTGTTGGTATTACGTCACTACAGATTGATGTTGCCAAAGAGAAAATTTACGGCTTCAATCATCTCTTCACAACCCCATTAGCTATATGGAGCATATTTACCTATCACATTAGAGAAAAAGGCGCTATATGGGTTGCAGCAGATAAATTTAAAATCAGATTTTCAAACGCCCATTTAATTAATAGGATAACTTTTGTTTGATTAGATTGTGTGGAAGTGTAGTATAAAGCGTGGAATAGTGAAAAATGTCAACCGAATCAAAAGGACCATCAAGATCACGTATTTTATCTAAAGCATCCAAAGTATTTTTTACACTCCAAAAATGATTAATTCCACTATTTCCATATGATTTATTACAAAATTAATTTGAAGTTCTTTGATAGTAGTAAAGGAACTCGTTAAAAGAACCGAAATATTAGAAGTAGGACACTTACTGGAGGCCGAGGTGAAACGATATTTTACGTTTTTTTTTGTGTAGTTTAGGTAGCCAATACATAGTGGGGACCTTCAAATGTTTAGAGCAGTCCTTCATCTGAGCTATGGTAGTGACATGATTATTTACCATATGGCTCTCTGTTGAGCGTACGGCCTTGGTTGTAGTGTAATGTAGGATTTCATTCTTTTGGACTTCCGTGTAGTATTTACGTCACACCAGCACCACATTGTCGGCATGCTTTGTTGGCCGGTACGAACACAAAAGGCTTTGCGAGTTCTTGAATTTTGTATTTTGGGAAATGGGCGTTTTACTTATTCTTTTATTTATTTCTAAATTATTTTCGAAATGTGATATGCGAATTTCATCAATTTTCCGACATTTTCTTAGATGGGAATCAAGCGACTTTTTGTCAGATTTCTCCCTTTTACAAAAGGATGAATGAACTTCTTTAGTAACCTGATGACACTCTTCCAAATTTATTTTCGACGGTGGACAATATATTTTTTTTTTTCTGAAAGTTTACAACCTCTCGCTCTTGGATCATATCTAAACTTCGATGTTTCACAGTTTCATGTTGAAGGAGCATTATTTTCTATATTGACGTCTGATGTAACTGGCGTATAATTAAAAATAAAAATTCTACTGTTTTTGTATACGTTATACATAATATGTAATTGACTAATTGGTATTTGACCTACACGCATACTAATTGATGTCTACGATTGTTTTTAAAAATAGATAAATAATCATCAAGTGTAAAATTAGAACGATTTTTTTTTTCAATGATTCCGGTAAATGCAATTGCCATGAGACCTATGATCGCGTTATCTTTTATCAACAATAGTCATGATATCAAAAGAGGAATATTTAGATATGTTCCCTTGGCCCATGATATTTTCATTATGACTTAGGGGGTACGCCGTCTGTATTGGCTTAATCCAAGACAGTTCGGAAATTGTACGGGAATCTTCAAACTGTTTATTTGATTGTCCTGGTTGATTTTGGACGGTTTGAAGTGGTTGGAATTTTCTACATTTAGTATGGTGTTTGTGATTTTCTAAATGCTGGGAAATTAAAATTTTGAATTTCTTAGGTCTGCAGAAGCGGTATAGATGTTTTTGTGTTCGTTTGAAAAATTCACGTCCAGTTTGCCCTACATATTGAATACTACATTTCGATTTGTTCATGTTACAATATATATTGGGCTTTGAGTTTTTCAAGTAATGTCATATGAAAAGGAAAGAGAAACAAGTATTTCATTCACTGATGACTGAACGGTATTATCTGAAGATAATCTGGAGCATGTTTGTCATTTTCTGGCTTTGCACGGGAATATTTATGGATATCCACGTGCGTTTTTTTTTTTAATAATCTAGCTGCAGAGGCATTGCTTCCTTTAAAACAAGTGTGAGATGTGCTAAATTTTGGAGGTGAATTTCGATTTTCGGCAGTTGAATCTATATTAGGAAGCGTTTTTGTAAGCACGTGGATATTCGAAAAAAAAAATCGATATTCCAAGTGTGTAAAGTTTATTTGTTATTTTACCGTTTCTTGAATTGATGATATCATATTGTTACAAAGTAGATAAATGAAAGATGCCGAAAGTCAAAGCTTTGAATTCGGATCATATTTAAGGGACGAAGAGACAAAAGTGTTGCAGTCGAAGAATTCTAATAAAAACTGAAATTTACTGTATTTAACCCTAGAACACATTCATTTCGTTGTGCATTTGTTTAAGACAATAAATTCAAATAAGAAAAATCACTCCTGCTCTATCTCAAAAAGATATTTACCAGCTCTGACTAAAACTATGGACAAATTCATGTAACGGAGATATCTAATTTGTTATGACATTTTCAAGCATACTACCTTTTGACCTTATTAAACTAAACCAGATCATTACTTTACCTAAAGATAATGATTCATCACCGAAAGTTATAAAAAAACATATAATTTCATCGGCCTTCTTTATTTTTCCTGCATAAAATATAAAGAAATAAGTTAAGAAAGTATAAATAGATATATGTGCAAGTAATATTCCCACCATTTTTTCCTAAAACGCCCTGTTCAAAGTCAGGAATATGGCAGTTGTTATCAAATAGTTCGTGTCTATGTATGTTGGTGTTTGTTTTTGTTGCACTTCAGTTTCCCTCTTATAGATGATGTGTTACCCTCGGTTTTAGTTTGTAACCCGAATTTGTTTTCTCTCAAACGATTTATGACTTTTGAACACCGGTATACTACTCCCGGATTGTCCACATAATTACGCCCCTACGGCGTGTTATGCAACAGAAAAACCTTAAAATATGCATTATCTATAACATATTTACATTTTCAAGAGAAATGAAATATATAAAAACGGTCTTTAAAATCATAAACTAACTTCTCGAATTGTTGAATGATGGGTTTGTATACCTTCATATGATTATATGAATATTACAACTCTTTTTTTTTTAGAATGGGGATACTCCTTTATATTCAGCTGTTAGAGGTAAACATCTCGATATAGTCCAGTTATTATTAGAAAGAACAGACATAGATCCAAATAAAGACAATCGGGTAAGGAGAGTAGTGTTTACAGAACACTAGTACATCAGCTCTGTCACAACCACCAAAATCAATGTCAACACGATGTTACTCATACAATTGTTTACAAACCTCCGCAAAATAACTAGTCCTATACATGTTATCAATACATGTTGAGAACATGCTTTTGTTGATTAAAAACTCAAAACATGTATTGTTTTCAAAATCAGGAACTGTTGGCTTAAATTGAGTTTGTCAAAATATGGTAGAATTATATTACATCCTCGTCAACATCATGGGGTAACAAGTTAAGAATTAACCAAAGGGTACATATGTGTAAGACGTATTTGTTTACCTTGGCGTAGTATCTTTGATGATTTTTATAAGTTGAATCAAGTCAATAACGTGTTAACATCATCAACAAGATAAAACAAACATATAGTATGGATATATTTGTTTGACCAAAATAGGTGACTACTTAACAATGGTGATAAAATTCACTAGATTATAATATCACAAACTATAATCTAATATTATTGTGCCTGAAACTTTTTCTCCTTTGGACCCAATTTGCAATGTACATTTTAACAATAGTTGTTTGACAAGAATTTTACTTGCAAATGCCATTCCTACGTGGTGGCAGGCTTTTTAGAGCAAAAACAAAATTGAACAGAGAATTGAATAGGCGATTCCCTCAAAGCTGAATAAAGCGTGTTAAAAATAAATTATTTAAGTTCATAAACTGTTAACTTTATGTAAATAAACAGTTCTAGAGGAATTGTGATTTATGAAAAAAAATTTAATTACCGTATTGTTTGAGAAAAGTGAAAATAATAATAAATGTTTTCATATTCAAATTATTTCTGGAAAATCGTTCATTTTTATACTTTTGTATTATTATTATAAACATGTCAACCTTTCTATTTCAGTCCAATAACACTCCCTTACATTATGCCGTTTTAAATGGACATTCAGACATAGTTCATTTGTTATTAAGAAGAACAGATATAGACCCAAACAAAGTAAATAAGGTATGGAATTTTGTTCTGACCAGATAAATTAACGTTCGTATAATCGGCTCAGACAACAATCAAATGCATTTTCCACACAATGTTCTTAGTGTAATTTTTTACCCAGCTTCGCAACATACATAAATGTTCAAAGGGGAAAAGGTGTAAAGAATAAATTAAATAGAATGCGAATTTATAAATATCATCAGCCCATCTAAACTCAGCTGTTTTAAAGGAGCTAAAAAGAGCTATGAAGTTAATAGTCCTTTTTTAGTTGTGTGTCGCGTTGTTCGTTTGCACTGACGCATTAATAATAATATCTCATATATGAGCCAAAGTATGATAAGTATGTTTCTACTATTATGTTAGATACCCATACATATTTGTAAAAAGAAACGTTAATAAGAATAAGGAGATGTGGGTATGGTTATTATCTGGCTATGTTTGTTAATAAAATGCATTCACCATTACGAACCACAAACTTAATACAACATGCCTGGAAATGAACTTAGAAGCTTTAATTTAGAATGGGTCTACAATCATAAATAAATGTAAAGGAGCAAAATCAAGTAAAAAATCCAAAACAAACGGAGTGTGTACTATTAACGGAATAACACGGGGTTCGTCGACAGAGTTTAAGTCTCCTTCTATGTACATGATGTATGCATCATCCGCCATTCAAATCTACACTCAGTGAAAAAGTCACAATAGATAAATTGTGCAGACCAGACGACTATATTTGTATATACAAGACCACGGACAAATGTTGCTACTGATATGATATCCTATCTCTGTCGGGGTTTTGGAAGCCAGATATATCTTAAAAGTAATTAACCATGGAATTACGTACCTCGATGTACACAGTGTAACAATTTAGTGAACAATCTATGAAAGATGACAATTCTAATCCAATATATTTGACTATTACACAAATTGAACCAACTGTATTTTGTTTTCAAATGAATACTTATCAGATTGGGAAATGCGTGACATAATAAGCAATGATGTTCCGTCATTTCTTTTCCCAAAACTTTGATATATCAACCGCCGTTTTGCATTTAATTTTAGTTGGTTTGTCAATCCAGATAAATCTTATTCGTTTCCTTTTTTTACTTTCTTTTTCATTTTTTTGGAAATACTCATGAGCCAGCTTAAAAGTTTAGATATTGTATTATCATAGATTTGATAGTTAAAAAACAGTAAGATTTCGCTTTGTCCAGAGAAATTACAAAATTTGCCTATTTCCTCTTTTTTAACATGTTTAATTTCAAAATTAATTTCTTGCATTCTACTCTATCGTTCACAAAATAAATTCCAAATTGTTTTTACTGGTTTATCTGTCGAATTGATATTTGCTATTTGTCGATCTCTCAATTAGTCTTAAAAAAATTGCATTTTTTTTTTTACAAATGTAACCCCTTTTATTTTTGCTCTTACTTTTGCACCAATAGCTTTTTTTCTAAGATGTGTGAGACTTCACTTTTTTTTCATTTAGCGTTTGAATTTGTAATATCTTAATGTATCGCTTTTAATTAAGGGTTAAAGTTTTAATATTGAACAAAAAAAAACCGGCAATTTATATGTCTAGTGTAGCTTTGATTTAAAAGTCAGTAGTACAATTATTTATTAAATTTCTATTTTTCAAAGTTTATTGCTGTTAGAAAATAAACCCTTTTCCGATGCATCCGTTTAAAAACAAACACCCAAATGATCAGTATATTGAATCGTTGCAGGATTAATTTGTTTGTCATGGTCATAGTTATAAATAAACTGTTTCTAAAATCTGGATTTGTTTTATGAAATGCTGAGAATTTTCTACCACAGGAATAAATTACTTTAGCTGTATTTGGCAAAAAGTTTACAATTCTGGGTTCTCAAAGGTTTTAAAATTTATAACTTTTTTTATTCGAGCGTCACTGATGGGTAGACAACATGCTCGTCTGGTGAACAAAATATAAATCTGGGTATCTATGACGTGTTAATTTCCAATATAAAAAGAAGATGTGGTATGATTGCCAATGAGAAATACTGAACTCCGAGGAACATTCAAAACGGCAAGGCCATAATCAAAAGGCACAATAAAAAGCTCAAACACATCAAACGAATGGATAACAACTGTCATATTCCTGACTTGGTACAGGCATTTTCTTATGTAGAAAATGGGGGACTAAACCTAGTTTTATAGCTAGTTAAACCTCTCACTTGTATGACAGTCGTATACAATTTCATTACATTGACAATGATGTGTGAACAAAACAAACACACATAATAGATAAACATGTCAAAAATAGGGGTACAGCAGTCAACATAGTGCTATAATCTTAATCACTATAAAAACACACAAATATGTTACAAAGAAGCACAAAAAGGCATATAGGTAAAGAACATTAGCAAAAATGAAAAACAAGGATGCACAATTTTACTATAGCACAATGACACAATGACGGGATGTATTAGTACAGAGCCACGTCATATGTAACAAAGAAACACAAAAAGGGAATACAGACAAAGCAGATTAGCAGATTTTTCACAAGAGACCAAATGACAGAGAAACTAACAAATATAGGGCACCGTACGTCCTTCAACAATAAGCAAAGCACATACTTCAAAGTCAGCTACAAAAGGCCCCGAAATGACAAATGTAAAACCATTCAAACGAAAAAACCATCGGCCTAATTTATGTAAAAACTAATGGACGAAAAACAAATATGTTACATAGCAACAAACGACAACCACTGAATTACAGGCTCTAACTTGGGACAGGCACATACATAATGTGGCGGGGTTAAACTCGTTTGGAGGCGCCAACCCTCCTCTTACCTGGGAATGTAAGTATCGACAGATTGTAGAGTCATGAAAGTTCATATGTATATAGCAATAATATTGAGTTTGATTTTAATTTACTGATAACAAAATCAATATTAATACAAATAAAAGCAATATTCTGAGGTCTAATTACAGTGTTCAATATGTAACCTTTTAGGATAAGTTTGCGTAAAGGAAGTTTTCCGTGATCAATCAATTTTAGGTCTAAAATTGTAACAAGTCAACATATAATCTATTTTGTTCACCTGCAATTGATCTTGTCCATCCAAGTTAACTGTTGTACGTTTTTATTTATGATAAACCATTACTTTCCTTTAATAATGACTCAAAGCTTGATTCTGGTTGTTTGTTTGGTGATTTGTATTTGCACCAAATAGTTCAATACCTTAATTTCCTACAACAACTGGAATTCAATTTTCATGTTTTTTTTTTAAAAAGTGATCCTCTTCAAAACAAAAAACACACACAATTTCTAGCGGTTTTGCGGTCTATAAATTGTTGATAATTATCACTTACTGCAATGTACCATTACTGCAATACATATCAAAGTTAATTTTTAAGAGACTTTCTTTGGTGAATGCAGTGGGCAGTCATTCGAATTGGCAATATACCGATGAAGTTATTTGAACTGGTATTATTTAAACTTTCACACCTGTATCTTTTCTTTTTATGATATGATTTTTATTTGACTATATCATAGTTATATTTGAAATCAATGAAAAAGTCTCATTGTACATACCAATTATATTCAAACCAACATAAAAATAATCCCAAATATCAAATGATAATTTATTAATTGATAAATGATTTTGGCCAAAAATAAATGGTGATAAGGTAAGTTATATCTGCCATATTTCTTAATTCAAATATTTCTTTTTTTAAATTGATATCAAGGCTTTTGGCATACAAATCTATTTAGGAAAAAAGAAAAATAACAAAAATACCGAACTCCGAGGAAAATTCAAAACAGAAAGTCCCTAATCAAATAGAAAAATCAAAAACTCAAACATATCAAATGAATGGAAACAATTGTCATATTCATAACTGGAACGATTATTGTACTGATTAAACCAGCATGATCGCAATCAGTTAGTTGTGCTGTCTTAATCAATAGAGTTTTACAATAACTGTTGGACTCCCAAGTCAGAGTACGAGTAAAAACTACAAATTATACAGATAAGCTGTAGAGGCAATCTCAAAGTAATGTGTACGCTAATTGATTTTAGCGGGCTCAATCTTTGCGTGGTAATAAATGTAGGACAAAACCATTTTCATTGACGTTCGCTTCTAGATATGTTCCGAACTTATAAACTTTCACAACAGCAATTTTTTGCTCATGTTGTCTAATAAGTTTAATCTTTTACATTAAAATAATTATCCCTTTTTTAGCTTAAATGGCCTTACCACATCTTCTTATATCTATTTCCTAACTGAAAAATTATTTAAATGGGAATTGGGTTATACTATTATTCTTTTTGTTTTTGAAGGGGTGCTATTTGTTTATATGTGAATACATTTAGTCTTGGAGGGCAGGATAAACATTTTCAATTAAATAATTGCTAATTGCATCAAACATTGAACATTTTGACGTAGGTATATACGTTTTTGTTGCGAGCGAATTGTAATTCTTACTCCTGTTTGCATTGATTTTGATGAGAAAGAACTGTCTCCATGCTATGTGAATCCTTTTCAATATTCAATTGACATATATTCGATTCGTTAATCTTATAAACCATTCCAATCATCATCCTTGTCAAGTTAGCTTGCATCTATTTGTCTAAATTTTGAAGTTTACATAAATTATTCTGACAGATAAACATACGAGGCTCCACTTTTTTTCCAATATACAATTCTACTGGATCATTAACATTTCATATTTTCAGTTAGCAGTTGTATTTTAGAATTTGTTATTTGAATATCAAAAGAAAGAGTGTCTTTTGTTAGAATGTCTTCAAACAATTTCAGAAGAAACAACTAAAATTGAGTAGCAAACGAAACAAACCTTGACAAACGCAAAGTATTGACAATATATCACCCGTTACATAGATCGAAATGAAATATTAAGGAACGAAAGAATCAAAAAAACGTACGGGATGAGATAGTGTTTAGGAGGAACACGGAAGGTTCATGTAGGCGAATGTGATTTGAGTGCAAAATACTTCATTTGATAAATGTAGCCATACTAATTGGTATTTTATTTTTTTGGAACAAATATTAAGAAT